TGTGCCATTTCCGAAGAGCGCACCCCTTGATAATGGATCCACCAGCTTAGTGTTTTGCTCCCTTAGTTGGCAGTCATATCCGAGACTGCTGTGAACCGATCCAACAATTGCCTACTCTCTTCCATATTCTCGGGGGAGGTGTCCATCATAATGGTCAGGTCGTCCGCAAACATCGAGCAAACGGAGATCGCCTCCTCAGGGATAGCGGAAATCTGCAGCTTTCGAAGGTCTTTGTTGGTACAGAGATTCGTTGCCAACGCCTCCATCACAAATATAAACCAGAAGGGGGCCAAATGGTCCTCTTGGCGAACCGACCATTGCAGCGAGATCACCGGTGCCAGCAGGCCATTGACCTGGACACTCGTCGTGGCGTTGCTGTGCAATATTTCAGTCCAGCGCCGAAAAGTCGGGCCAATATTTTCTCCATGCATCCATCTAAAAGGTCCAGTCCACGTGGTCACATGCTTTCTCAAAGTCGATGAAGACCACGACACCGTTGTGTTTGTCCTGCCTTGCCAACTTAAGGACGTCGTTGACCTGCAAGACATTGTCATGGATCCTACGCCCCTTGATAAACCTTGTCTGTGTGGGTGAATGAGGTCCTCCAATACTGGGATCAAGCGGTTTGCCGTGGCTTTCGCTAGCATTTTATACACGACTGTGATCAAGGTTATTGGCCAGTAATGTTTTAATATCCATCGTGTCGCCTTTCTTGTGCAACAATTTGAGAACGCCATGCCCTACTAGCTCCCCCATAGGCCTTGGTTCGGGGCCATTTGGGTCCAAAATGTTTCCCAGAGCTCCTTGGGGAGCCCGTCCTCACCTGGGGTCTTCTCCTCGTCCATCTGCATCAACGCCATCCAGATTTCCCCTCAAATAGGGGATGGTCCAGTTGATCTCTTTGTTGGTCTATCAGGGCATTCCTCATTGGCTCTAGAAAGTCCGCTATCTCCTTCTCCCTGGTGGCCCTCTCCCGCCGGGCGCACCTTGAGGTGAACAGGTCTTTGAAGGACCTTGCAATTTGCATACACTGCGGCGTGGAGGTCACTATATCCTGACCCCTTGACTGTGGATCATATAGTGCCTCTATCATTGTTCTGCGTGGACGTGCACAGGCCATGTTAAAGAATTTTTTGTCCATCGACCCTTCAGTTTCATGACGTGCCAATCGTCCCCTGATGCATGCACCTTCCCAGCATTGTGGCAAAGGTCTGGAGTCGTTGTCGCAGGGATTGCAGTTTCGTCTGATCATTTGACAACACTTGAAGGTTTCCGTGTGGGATGTTTACGGGGTTCTGCTGTTCGAGTTGTTGAAGTCAATGGCAAACATCCATTTCCTGCTGGTTCTTTCAGGCCGCTAAAAGCTTAGAGTACTCCCTGCGTTTTTTACCCAGATACACTAGTCCGTTATTGAACCAAGTCTGTTTTGTGCAGCATATGTTGTTTTTTGTGTGTGCTAGAAATCCCAACAGTCTTTGATATCTTTGGTATAGTTATGAAAGGGCTTCTGTTGCAGGATAGATACATTGATTTATAGAAACCAGGCCCCGTGACCGGGCTTCCTGCGGAATGACAGGATAACACAATACACATTTTATGATCAAGGCCTGGGTGCGGGCTGGCGGGTAAGATCGCTGCCAACGGCAGTGATCCCGCAGGTCCTCTGAAATTAGGATCAGGTCAATTCTGGACCTCGACTGGGCCTCAGTCCCGGTTTTCCGTAGACATGAATAAAATCGATTATCTGGATTGAGCCTTTGGAAGGAATCGAAGAGCTTTAATGAGAGACATAGTTCCCTTATCATTCGCTCGTCCTCCTCCACGTACAATGGGGCAGGGGAGGGTGTCTTCCACCTGTCCATCCAGCGATCCGGGGCTGCATTGCAGACCCCCGCTATGAGAGCGGGGACTCTGTCTGGAATTTGTGCTTTCAGGCTCTTGAAGAACACCCTCCTCTCTTCCACAGAATTCGGGCATAGACACACGAGATGCAAACAATTTCTAATTCCCAAGCAACCAAGATCGACACCCATCGGCCTCCTTCCTGGTCGACAACCCAACGAACCGGATCCGCCCAGAATTCCGGGGGGATCCAGATGGCTACCCCTGCGCTCCTGGGTTTTGGGGTGTGTACCCTGAATGCCTTGTATGGCCACACCATTTTGTGGACGCGGTTATGTTCCGGGGTTTCTACTAGGTGAGTTTCTTGGATGCATACTACATCCAGCCAGTTTCTACCCTCCCCCCCCTCTCATCAGATCCCATATTGCGATCCTTTTGTCCGTTTTGCAGGATGCTAGGCCATTGACAGTTAGGGACTGGAGATTCAAGTCTGCTGCCCGCTGGCATTGGTTCCAGATTCGATCCTTCCCGTACACCGCTCTGACCGGATCCATTTTAGCCTCGCTAGTCTTCCGATCCCTAGTCGGGCCCACAACATCTGTTCCCAGTCCCACTCTGTTGTGCCCGCCAGTAGGCCCAGCCCGAGAATGGAACTTAAGCATCTCTGGACATCCTGCTCTGTTCAGGTGTCACTGGATCTGATCTTATCCGTCTGCAGGTCCAGAAGTTGAGAGTGGGTGTGCCACTTCAGGCCGGCATCCTTGGCTGGGTCGAAGCGGATGTAAACGTCCCTCAGGGCAATTCTGTTGGGACCGGATGGCACGGATGCTATAGCCTGCGCCCCCGCCGCAGGGTTTCTGCAATATGCGATTCCAGCTGCATCTGCAAGATCTCTGCCGCTGCGATTGGCAGTTCTTTGGTTCTGCCCAAAAGGAGGACAAGCCCTGTATCGTGACGCCTTCTTGCCTGCCATTCCCAGCTGGATACAGACCCACCTCCCATTTCCCATCCCTTTTCCGCACGGGAATCAGTAGCATAGCAGCCTGTGACAGAGGGCCTGTGTCCTGTCCCAGCTCGGCCATGTGCCCAAGTTTCCTTCTACGTACCAAGTCCAGTGGCGTGTTCTCCTCTGGGTCCAGGGGCGGAGCGGGCGGCTGCGAGGTCGGGAAGGTTTGTATTTCTCCATCTTTTCCGTTCAGTTTTTGTCCCATTTCCACCTCCGCTTCATCCTCAGTAGCTGGCCAGGGTGGTTGGAAGCGCAAAAAAACTATAGTGGCCAGTCTGTGCCATGCGTCCGTCCACCTCACTCCCGGCTGCAGTCCCTGGTCCAGCACGTATTTCAAAGAGGTGCTTGTGTCAAGCATAGGGAATAAGTCCAAGTATGTTTTGTCCCAAAATTCATCTGTAAGGGGACCATACTTCGCTTTTAGATTGGACATCAGCCACTCTGCGACAATGACCAGCTTCCGTTCCACAGGCAGATCCTGCGGCGGGGTCCCCTCCTCCCCTGCATCTTCGCCCTTACGGGAGGGCAGTCCCTCCGGCGACACACAAGTATTGTTGGGGAGGGGGTCGACATCCATCGACTCGGGGCCAAAGGCTGCTTGAAAGGGATCGGTGTTAGTGATCTGGTCCCGAGGCAGTCCCCCCCCGCCCCATGCCTCCCTGGTCTCTGCCCGGCCTGGCTCTGTCTGCATGGGTAGGTTAGGCGGGGGGGGGGGGGGGGGGGGGGGGGGGGGGGGGGGGGGGTTAGCCAGCGGTGTGTTTTCCCCCATGTTTGCCTGTCCCGGTGGGGTTGAGCCGTCCAAGTGTTCCTTATCGCTTCCCCGCCTTGTATATCCTTTTTCCAGGACGTATTGCGCCGCAGCGGGGCCCGGCGTGCCGCTGGGGTTTCCTCCAAAGCTGTCCCCGTCCTTTTGCACCTGTCCAGGCTCCCCCTGCTTCTAGACGAAAGAAATCTAAAATTAACAAAGGCAAAACAGAAATCACACCAAGCCACACCAGATATGTATAAATATGGTACACTCGCTGCTGTAAAACCGTCGGTTTTTGCAAGGCTATGGGGGTTTCATTTGTCTTTCTCTTGATTGATTCTGATTTCACTTTCTGTTTTGCTTCCCTTTTCTTCCTCATTTTTCTCGTCCTCAGTGTCTTGGCAGTCCTGTGTTGATTTGATGAATAAAACTTACCTTATCTGTTTCTACTTCATGTAATACTCCAAGTCATCATCCTCCACCAGTCATGCTCTGCACATGTGTCCAGTTCCATATGAAAGCCTGGAAAGCATGGAGGAGGGATGATGAGCGGAGAAAAGATGGCAGCAACTTCAATCAGAAAATCAGGAGGCGAGGAGGAGGAGGAAGAGGATGTGAAGGAGAAGAGATTAGATGATGATGATCCTGACAAGAAGGACGTAGGAAAATCTGGATGCTGATGTCGAGAAGAAGTTGGCAGGGGGGTAAAGGGGAGGAGGAGGGTATTCTTTCTCTTTATGAGATCCCATGTCTCTTTCTGTTTTGCTTTCCATCATCCTCTCCATGTCTGTCCGATTCCATCGGGGATGCCTTTGATGCCAATATCCCTCAGCCTCCTTGAGAGCGTGGGGGGCACCCTGCTGCTGATGCTGCTACCTGGGGGGTTGAGAGAGAGAGAGAGAGAGAGAGAGAGAGAGAGAGAGAGAGAGAGAGAGAGAGAGAGAGAGAGAGAGAGCAATGGTGCTTTCGGCACTGTTTCAGGTAGCTGCGGACATGCCATTTCAATTTTGTTGGCACGGACAAAGGAGTAGAAGAGTTGTACAGAACTAGAAAGGTGGTCATGGTAGACAATACACAGCATACGATACATCACTTCACAAGAGCATCTTGTGGATCCAGTTATGTTTTTTCTTTCTTTTTCTTTGTAGGTGAAGCCACAACAGATCATCTACTACACTTTGTGTCTGCTCATTGGCGATTTTTGGGTGATTCACTATGGGATTGGGCCTGCATCACTGTACAGCCAAGAATTTGAGTCAATCAAGTTCTAGGTGGGTTCAGAAATCAAGTGTTTCCTATGAGGTCTTCTGTATTTGACTCAGTTGGCATCTTCTGGTTGGGGTGCCTGTTTCAGGGCGAGTCAAACGTATCTGTGAGGTGATCTATGGTATAACCACGCAGTGCCTTACAGTTAAGCATATCTTTAAGTTCAATCCAGGAACAATCGCAAATGTGGTACTGAAGATGAATGCGAAGGTGCGCTTGATCTGTTCACCCATCAGCCCCCATTCTGTAGTGTTGGCCAGTTTGGAGAGGAACGCTCGAGTGTTTGTTTGACCGATAGTTTGGATCAATTTCCCGCTGAAGTGGGGTCACAGACCACAGTTATCAAAATTTGTGAATGTTCTCTCGTCAATGGGATGTGCAGGGAAAAAGGGGACTGGAGGAGAAGGGGAGGGAGGGAGGGAGGGAGGGAGGGAGGGAGGGAG